CATTTTTATAACCTTAACTGTTATTGTTGAGCTATAAATGTAATCTTGAGACTGTTTTGACCCTCTTTGAGTAGATTCTTGTCAAATCAACTAAGCATTTTGAGTATTTTTTTAAGATATAGAAGACAATACTATAGTGCAGTGAGAAATGTTATCTTAAGACAGTCACTGTAAGGTCCTTACCCTGCAGTTGAAAATAGTCTTTTTAACAGTAGTTCCTGAGTGTTTCTTTGCCATTCTGTCCTGCTGTACAGGAGTCTGAAGGATCTGCAGGAGAACCTTAATGAGAAGAAAAGCCTTCATAAGAGGGCTGATGTCTCTCCAGGGCAAAGCACTGCCTAGTGGATGTCCGCAGGGAAATTCCTTGACCTCTAGTTTCTAGTAGCGAGATACGCAACCCGGTATCACGCCAAAGCGTGTAGCAGACACGCTGGTCCACTCGAGTATGCGTGTAAGTGTCACGCTTTGCCTCCTCTAGGAGACTCCCCATGGCCCCTCATGGTTATCCAGCCCGTTCTCTGCGGTTTGCCGTGCTCTTTCTCTCCAGAGCTCATGACCCCTTCAGAAGTCATTTTGATTCTCCTTCCCAGCAACCTGTCCTCTGTGACTTTTTATTTCAACTCAGATTTGTCATCTCTCATTATCTTTCAGTGTAATGACATTAGGATCAATAGGCCTTTACTCTTCCAATTTTTATCATGCCTGACTGAGGAAATCACTCATTATATATTTTATGTTTCACAGAACGCAACTATGGTTCTTGGAAATGTTTCATTTGTTTGTTTTCTTGTTGATTACACAGACTCTCTTGACAATATTACAAATTCAATCACCCAGCTTTCCCTTCGCAGTCAACTGAATTCATGTGTGTAGTTAAGCCCCTCAAACAGCACCGTTGCATTCCCACTATCAGACGGATTGATTTAATTGCATTCACATACAACAAAATTAGGATCTAAAAGGTCAGCAGGAAATACTGCAAAGCCCAAAGGAGCATTTTTTAAAGAGGCTAGTGAATTTAATACGCATCCATCACTTTTTATCATCTAATTAGTCCTCTGCATGGCAGGCTGTTCAACATGGGAGGAAACAGCCGAATTGATTCGAATAAGGCCTGGTATCTATCATTTCACTTGTTCATTGACAGAGCGCCCAGCCATTTCTGACTCTGTCTTTATAGTGTCAGCAAAGCCCTCCTGCTTGTTGCACTATTGCCTTACAAAATTGTTATCATCCCTCTGATTTCACAGGAATAACAGTTTGCTGTGTGAGGCATCAGTTGTAACCCAGCACATTTTTATCGCCCTGATGCAGTCATGTATCTTGAGTGTACACAAAACTAAAAGCAACCAGAGAGCATCATTTCATATCCAGCAATTTGGCATATTCATAGAAGGGATGTGGAAACTGTGTTACATTGCTGGCATTTCTAAATTTAAGGGTTGTATTTGAATGACTGCATGTGTCAGTTTTACTAATTTGTCTCTACTGTCATCCCAAGACCAAAATAAAAGTGGAGGGTGAAATTATTTTGTTCTGTCTCCATAGGTGCAGTGAAATTGATTGGTGCTATCAGCTGATCATCAATTTATGCCGTAGGCCTTATAGATCTTCTGGCTTGCTCAGCCCTCTCCACATATTTCCATGTGTTTGGAATTTTATTATTATTATTTAATTTAATTTTTTTTGTGCCTCGGAGGCTGTCAGAGGTTGCCGTTTTCTCTCTCACTCAGACAGTGGAAGCATCTCTGCTTTTGCCTTGAGTTCACAGCTTGGTGAGCATGTCATTTTTCTGTTTTTTGTTTGGTTTTCATTGGAGGGGAAGGACACGTTTATGTATGATCAAGTAGTTAGAATGTCCAAAACAGAAGGCAATGGATAGAGAAGAAATATCACAGTACAGACATTTCTGCTGAGCTGCATGGCATAAAAATGTTTAAATTGATGAACCATATGTTAACATTTTATATTATTACCTATTGTTAGCACATCTGTCTGCATATTTATATTTAGACATAGTGTCTGCTCAATTTATTATCTAGGGGAACAGTATGTATATATA